CAGTTCCAGATGTTCCATGTAACACAACAATATACAAAACATAAGAGAGGCATTTCTTCCTCTCAGACATCTCGTTATTATTGAGAAAATGTTTCCAGCAGCTCCCCACCAGACCTCCCCTCCAACTCTCATTGACCGAGATTAGGTGAAGTGTCCTGCTTCTACAATAACTAGGGGTGGGGAAGAATAAAACCATCATCATTGGCATAAACAATCCATTCACCTCTTGGGGTTGAAAGAGCCCAGGATCCACTAAGTGTATGGCCTTGCAGAGGTGAAATCCAAATAAAAATAGGTGCTCTCCCAAGAAATCAGGGGAAATGAATTTGGGTGGGTATGTGGGAAAATAACACAAGCTAAATTCAGTTTCTCCTATCATACTCTCATAGCACACTTCTGTGACCAAATGTGTGGGATTTCTCCCCACCAGCAAGTAAACAATCACCAGCTGGGTGCCCTCCAATTCAATTCTGACACTATCTACCTGGACATAGCTTCAGATCCCACAGGTTGAGGGCTCAGTCCCCAAGTCTGTCCCCCATCCCACATATTGAGGATGGCAATCATGAGCTACAGGTTGTTTTACCTGTGCTTCTGACTGACTGGATATAAACTGGGGTTCCCATACTCTCTTCCATGGGTTTGATTAATTTGCTGAGCAGCTCACAGATCTCAGGGAAACACTTACGTTTACCTGTTCATTATCAAGAATATTACAAAGGATACAAATAAAGAGATGCATAGGGCAAGGTATGGGAGAAGGGGTGTAGAGCTTCCATGTTCTCCCCGGGCATGCCACCCTCCAGGAACTTCCACGTGTTCCGCCATCTGGAAGCTCCCCGAATCAAGTTCCCTTGGATTTTTATGGAAGCTTCATTACATAGGCATGATTGATTAAAACATTGGCAATTGGTGATCCACTTAACCTTCAGTCCCTCTCCCCTCCCTGGAGGTTGAGGGGATTGTACTGAAAGTCTTCCCTGATCTTCAGGTGACCAGCCCCCATCCTGAAGCTAGTCAGGGGCTGCCAACTGTCAGTCATCTTACCAGCATACAAAAAGGCAGCACTTTGGAGATGCTATGGACTTTAGGAGTTGCATGTCTCACACTATCAAATGGAAAACCAATAGTGTCCAATAAAGTGAGCTTCTTCGGGAAGTAGAAAAACAGCAGAATTAGTTCTACTTCTGCAAATAAAGTCAGAAATTCTGGTAAACTGAATACTGTGATAATTGTTACTCAGAAGATTGAATACATTACTTGAGCCCAGTCTACATAACTTTCAGTTTCCATTTTCATAGCACACTTAAACATGTTATTACTCTTTGGTTAAACACTTTTTTTGGTTCTATGACAGTTTCCCACTTTCCCTGTATACCAGTGAGACTTAGATGAGGAAATATACATAATATTCTCCTAACCTTTTGGAGAGACCTGGGGAAGATGAGGTAAGGTAACTAGGAGTTTACAACTGTTAGAGAAAAGGACATAAAGAGACCCTTTGTTGGAACAGAATTTTCCTTAGAGTTTAAGGAGTTAAAAAAGATAAGAGTTGGAAGGGAGATGAGAGAATAGGGTGGGGAAAAATTACTGAGTAGGGGAGAAGAAAAAAAAGTCAGATACTTACACAGCCAGGAAAGCTCTATTGACCTTACATTTGGAAAAGGGATAGAATATGCAACATGAAGGAGATGAGCAGCAGGCAACAAGATGTTGATATTTAGCAAGTTTTTGTATTATTTATAAAAAATAATTTAAAACATTCTTTCAACTTTTATAGAGCACACATTCAGAATAACCAATCACTGTGTCTGTTTACATAAAAGTCTTTAAGTATATGTTATACTGCTAAGCTGGATAATCTAGCAACATATTGTCAGTGTTGGGGCTCAGAAAATGATACTCCAAAGGACGGTCCTTTGGCATGCTGAGTACTTTGAACTAAAGGAGGTTGGAAAGCCTCAGAAGCAAAGTCTCTTTCTGACCTTTTCCTGCCCTCCTGTCTCCTACACCTTGTATTCCCTTGAAGCAGAATTCATAGGAAGAGGAATTCCTCTTCCCCAGGGTGGGTCATAGAAACTAGAGCCCTTCTCCCCCAGAGTAAGCCATAAAACCTAGAAAGGTCACTCTTCCTTTTCCCTTGAAGACCCTCATTCCGGAGGGGCCCTGCCCCATACCTGGGAGGAAGGAATGCTACATAGAGAGGCCAAATAGAATCTGAACAGACAGGCCTTGTGGGGTTCCCCCTCTCAGTCTATCACTATTAGATCATACCCTTTTCTCCAATCACATTTCTACACGGCTGTCCATCGAACCTAAGCATAAAAACAGACAGCCTTTCCTGGGTCTTCGGGTCTTCATTTCTGAAGGCTCCCAACTTTGATTAAATAAAGTTGTCATGCTTTTCTCTTGTCAACCTGTCTTTTGTAATAGGAGTGTTAGCCATGGCCCTTATGATGGGTGAGGAAGAATGAGGAACAGTTTTATACCTTTCCTACCCCTATATCAGATACTGCAGTTTATACCAGCTAGCTTAAAAATGGATGCCATAAAAAAAAAAAGGATGTCATTAGTTAAAACGGTGAACTTAACAAGAATAGGTGGATGGCATTTCTTCTGGGATTGTACCATTCTTTGAAAACTGGAAGCTCATGACCTATGTAAACATCTCCAGAATTACTCAAAGATGATTTGTAAATATAAAATATTTCAATTAAATAGAAATTCAAGTATTTTCATAAAATAACTTAAAGGAATCAAATACTTAAAGCTATGTGTTCATAACACAACAAAATAGGAAGATAATGTCACATTTCCAATCATATGTCCATAATTTTTGACTCAAAAAATAACATAAAATTGATCCTTTCTGCTTTCAGTTTAGGGTGTTTACTGATCCTCTTAAGCTAATTCCATAACTATTTAGATTAACAATTCCTGCTTTAGAATCTCACTTTGTTTCAGAGGCCAAAAAAATAAATTTCAGATCAATCACTTTTCTTGTTTACCAGCCTTAGCAGTGAGGGACTTTGGGATATTTAAAAAATTCAACTCCAATCTTAAAGAAAAAAATTTGCCAGCACTGTGAATATCTAACAGAATATACTAAAGGCATAGAAGCAATTAATTCCAAAGGTGTCATTCTAAAAATTGTTTCTGCAAGAGCAGAATTAATACAGCATATAGTCTTCCAAGGTGACAACTTCTAAGAGGACAAACTTTTGTTATGTTTGTTAAAAATGAGTCACCTTATTTTATAAGCATATCTTGTAAGAGTAGCTCTTACAGGTTAGTATACAGAACAAGATTTAGAATAAAATTGACTTGGAAGAGCTTTGTGAACTTAATTTTCCAAAATGAAAACTACCAGTAATAGTCTGCCAGTCTTTGCCGTTAAATATCACAAATTTTCACCTTTTGAAACTTCTGAACAAGCAGAAAAATTGAGACAAAGAACTAAGAAAATCCTTAAGTTCAGTCAGCAACAGGCCTCATATTAGCCCAACTGATTTTGCAGTAAATTTTTCTTTTAGCAAGATATCTAATTTAAAACTAATCTAGATTATAATTTACTTGCTTAAAAAAAATAACCAAAGCATAACAGATAAAACAACTCCTAATAGTTTGTCCAATAGGAATTATTCAATTTTATTATTTTAGGATATATATACTTTTAAATGTATGAAAAGACTTTTTTAAGGTTCGGTTTAAGGATGTTGACATTGTTACATAAAATACATGGTGTGAAATTGCTAAGTAAATATACTCGCAAAGTTAATATAAAGAAGCAGTTATAATTTTCGAAAACGATTAGAGGCCACAAATATTGGCGATATAAAAGGCTGCAGCAAACTAGTTTACAGTAAAAACAGTTGAAATAATTTAAAAAGTCACATAGGAGGACAACAGAAAAATCAAGATAAACATAAGTCAATTCTTGAGTGTAGGGACGAGAATACTGAGGTGAGAAATGTACAGACAGTGGTAATTGCGAGAAGGGGGGAGGTTTTGGAACAGAGGAAATCTTGGAGACTCAAAAAGATTGACGCCACTCAGACGAGTGGAATTCACTGATGAAAACTTTGGCCTCTATTTCCTTTGAAATTGCAACCATTTTATTTTCCACTTTTTGTGAAACTTTAAGATTACTCTTGGCAATCCTCTTCAGCCAATTATAACATTTTAACAATACTGCCAACGCAACAATGAGGTGGGCAAAGGGAAAGATTAGTGAGGAAGCTGGGAAAGCAAGGGATACCGACTATGAGGGAGATTACAGTCAGCAGCGATGTGTCAGGAGGGATGAGCAAATCGGAATTAGAAGAGCTGAGCAGCGGTGGGGCAGGAGGCAGGGAGGGTCTGAAGGAAGACAGTGAACGGGAGTAGGAGAGGGACAGCAAGCGTGTGACCCAGCACGCAGGGAGGTGTATCAAAAGGAGGCAGCAGCCAGCGGGGAGTCCGCCCGAGCTGCTGTGAGGGAGCTTAGGACCAGCCCGCCCTCCCGCCGTACTTTTTCCTCCTGTTGGAGCGGCAGTCACCTGGAGTGTGAGTTCCGGAGGGACTCGATCAGGCGCTGCTTCTGCTGTTGGAGGCTGGTGAGGCCACTGGAGGACCCAGCTGCGGAGGAGGAGGCGCTCTTGGTCAGGGGAAAGAGCCAGCTCATCTCCTCGGGTCCCAGGGCCCAAGGCCCCTAAGGCTCCGGCCTGCTTCTCCCAGCTACTCAGCCCGGCTGTTCTCCAGCGACAGAGGAGCGGGCTGGGACACCTCCGGCCCAAGCGCTGGGGGGCCGCGTCTTCTCTAAGCAAGCCTGGCTCGCTGTCCTTGGGCTCTGGGGAACATGATATCACCGCGGCCAGCTGGACAGGGGCAACTTGCGGCCCTGGACAGCTAATCCCACCTACGCGGCCCAGACACCGGAGCCAGCCAGTCAGACACTCCGACCTCCCAGCGCTCCACCACCCCGGCTTCCGTCGCCGCGTGCCCCGCCCCCTCTGCGTGTCGCGTCATCATCTAGCGCCCCTGTCCGGACGTGCGAGAAGCGACGCTGCAGCACGGTGCGGCGCAGCTCCGGCTCCTCTTTCCCCTTTGCTGGGCTAGGGGTGTCTATGGGGCACTCGCTGCCGCCGCCGCTACCGCCACCGCCACCGCCGCTGGGTGCTGTCTCTATGGCGAGGAGGAGGAGGAGGAGCGCGAGCGCAGTGACACAAGTAGATTTTGCGTCTGCCTCAGACCTGCGGGGGAGGGACGGGGTGGGGAAGTAGGAAGGGGGCGGGAACCATGAACGTGAGAAGGCGCGCGATGGCGCCAGCTGGAGGGCGGCTGGCTGAGGAAAGAGCTTAGCGGTGGGTGGCGGGGAGGGTAATGGGGTTGGGGGTATATCAAGGGGTGGCGCAGAGTGATGACGTAAAGGCTTTGTACCTGGGCTTCTGTGTGGGGCCGAAATTGGGAGTGGAGGGCGGCGGCCTAAAATCCTCAGCGCCTCATATCCCCTCACGCGGCGGTGCTTGGGAGTTAATCTGGTTCCAGTAAATGCTGTCATTCGCACTGGCTTTCTGCCAGGGAAGAGAGTTATCTATGACTTGAATGCCACTGTGCTGTCCTCTCGTTTCTCTGGGAGCCTGCAGTACAGAGATGCTACCTCCAGTAATGAGAAGGCTTTGGGTGTCTTTTCGGGGCTTCTGGAACTGCAGTAAAGAGAGAGGTGGAGGAAAACACTGTTAAACAACAGGGTCTTTTCCGAGAGAGTGAGTATGAGTGTGTGCGTGTGTGTTTATCGCGGTAGGGAAAGTTATAAAGAGGTGCCCTGGATCTCCTTCGATTTCTGTTCTTAGAGCAGTCAAGGTTACCTTTATGTCTCTTCAGAGTTTAGGAGGGGGTCATAAGACCCTCCTCTTTTACCCTTGTTATGATTTTTTTTTTTCGAATTTGTGCTAAAAAAAAAAAAAAAAAAAAGGGGG